TGCCTGCGTGGAAACACCACACTGCCAGGCCAGCTGCCAGTCCAGGGTGAGTGCTGGAGCTGCCGGGTTTGTTCTGATTGTTGATGGGTTTGAGTTGAACTGAGAGATCTGATGAGTTTCAAAATGTGATCCAGCGACTCATTGCCGCCAAATGCATGACGAACTCGTTGAGTGCTGAAAGAGGACACAAACTTTGTCGAATATCTTTGGTTGCTGAAAACATCAGTTGACTGCTGCATGGAGGAATATCTGCTGGAGGGGCACACCTCTGTGCGGTGCTCTTGCATCAGAAGATGCACGGCTTTTTTCTCTCACCCGCGATATTCTCTAACAGCCCATGCCATGTTTTAATTGGGCATTCGCTCGGACTTGACTCCCCCATACATTCCCATTGATCTCTTGCTCTTCACCTGTCACAAGTCCTCAGTCGGGAGAATCTGATCTAAAGCATTTTGGATAGGGCTTCATTTATATTTCGCGATGAACGGTAGAAGGCTTTTCAGTAGGTACTCCCTCTGACAAGCTCCCTCGTCCGTCGTTGTCTTGCGGGAGAAAAACACTGCCTCTGAAAGGTTCAGGAAGGCCATCCTGACTCACAGCTAACCGCACCATTTTTTTTTTTTTAGGAAATTTGTCTTCTGAACAATACTTAACATTGCTTTGCGTCTTGAAATGTCTCAAGTTTACTACTTAACATTGCCACGTGCAGTGGAATGGTTAAAAGTAAAATAGCTTACGTCATGAACGATGACTCTAATATTCTCTTGCAGCGGTAGGAAAGTCCGGTTTGAGCTGTTCTTGTGTGATCTCGCTCACCTGTCTTGCTTTGGGGTGTTTGTTGGCTATTATCGTCCCTTCTGAAGTTGTCACCACCATCTGGGGATTTAAGCAACATCTTACTAACTAATGTCATATTGCAAGGTCCATCTTGTGCACACATACCGCACGAGCGCTAATCACTAATCAAGGGCGCTCTCACAGAAATTCGGCTGCTGCAAATTTTTGGTTCGTGCTGTCTGAAGATTCCATGCCATTTAGCATAAGATGAATGATGGTTACGGTACGGTACATCGGCTCACTCCCTTTCCAAAGAATCCTTTTACATTCGCTTGTCCTGAGAACGACAGACGCCTCTTCCAGCTTCTTTAATTTAGCGTAAAATTAAAGGGAATATTTCACATTTGACTCACATTTTCACATTTGATCTCGAATCAGGCATCACCATGATGAAACGAACTCACTTATAACTGTAAGTATACTTTTAAGTGGAAAAGGATTTACCCAATCCTTCAAGAATGGTTTGATCGTGCGCAGCGCCAAAGACTGTAAGGCTTCGGTAAACCCGTCAATAAACATATGCTGATTGCTCGGAAGCTTAGTGCTCCTCGACAACAATGGGCATGGCCATGTCACTTACGCTGGACGAATGGGTACTTAAGACTGTCAGCGGATCACTTTTGCAATGCGTTTTTGCGATATGCTCTGATCTATTTGAACGGCGCTGCTGGATTTTCATTCGCAATTTTTTCGGCGGCAGGGCTTCTCAATCGGCACGCTCACATGTACGTCCTTTGAGGAAAACGAAACGTGCTGTTTACGCCCCTACCAGGAGAAGACTAAATGTTACTGTGGGGAGCGATTCCTCATTCTCTGCAAGGAAGGAGTAAACCTGTTGGTGGTGTCAGTCCCCATCTTTAAGATGTGGACTATCACTAGCAGGCCCCGGTCCATTTCCCTTTACCGCTACGGTCACTGGCCCCTGATACGACTGCTGGAGTCGCTGGAGTTTTATAAAACGGTGTATAGCTGCATCAACCTTGGACACCATGGCGCCATTGACAATGCCTTAAGATGACCATTGAGTCCAGCTTCTCACCATATACGTTATACAGGCGTAATGGTGCATTCCAGTTTTAAGTCATGTTTTTTTTATTATTTTGTCCCTTACAGGCTTTACTCTCGTCATGCTCAAATGTGTATCGTATGTGTAGATAGCTCGCGTACATTTTGCGCAAGTGTGAATTTCCGTTCCCACCTTTCATTATGGACTGCGTGTGAAATTTAATGGGGTGTTAAAAGGATGACGCCGCTCCAGCAAAATTATTGACATCGAAAATGAAAATTTAAAGTCGCTCATCTCCACAGAGCCGAGTAAGCTTTTCTAAACAAACATCATTCGCCTAAGCCTACACTAACTGAGAATCATCCCGAACACTGCGGAAATCACAGGCCACCGGCTGCTCCACCCGCGGTCTGTCGCGGCTCCCTCAGGCTCCCGAACACTGCAGACGTCACAGGCCACCGGCCGCTCCACCGGCGGTCTGTCGCGGCTCCCTCAGGCTCCCGAACACTGCAGACGTCACAGGCCACCGGCCGCTCCACCGGCGGTCCGTCGCGGCTCCCTCAGGCTCCCGAACACTGCAGACGTCGCAGGTCACCGGCCGCTCCACCGGCGGCCCGTCGCGACTCCCCCAGGCGACAGGGCGGCCGGAGAGGTCAGGTCGGTCACGGGGCCGGCCCGCCTGCCTTCTGTGCCTCCGTCGGTGGCGCCGGACGGCTGCGGCCGGGTGGACGGCGGCGGCTCGCCAGTCGAGCTGTGTCGGCGGCGACGTCTGGACGGCCCCTCCGACCGTCGGTCTCGACGGCACCGCGGCGCCGCAGCGGCGTCACTCTGACTATCTTCCCGGGTAGGTATCCGCAGCGGGGTATATAGGAGAGAGGAGGGATATCGGCACATAGGGGCTCATCGGAGCACTCCTCCGAGAGGGAGCTTATTGAAACATAGGGAGTTCTTCCATCCAACGGGTGCGCTGAATCGCAACAGAGGCTCTGTTTAGCACTCGGACAACCTTAGCATTATAGCATTCGGAATCTAGAGCCTTTTAGGCTCGGATCCCATTTTCGTACACCGAGGGCCAGTTTGTGACGTCATAAAGGCCCTACTGGCTTCCTAAACTGCGAAAGCATTGGGCTTCTGATCTCAGAGGACTCAACCATCTTCCGAGCCGGGTGGCTACGGGGGGGAGGGGGTGTTCTGGCTACGCTAATGGGTAGCCGTTGTAGCGCACTTGCTAACCGTATCAAGAGGTAGGTAGCTGCGACAGTGTCACTTCTCCCCATTCCCCGGGAAAGCGACCCCGGCCGGACTCCTGCTCCGGCAGCAGCTGGCCGATTCTCGGCACGACCGGCAACCGGCGACCTCTTGGCCCCACAGCTCGGCACCACGGCAGGGTCTGTGCCGGCCACGAGCGAGCCGCGTGCCGCCCGCCGGGACAGCGTGCAATAGGGGAGCCATTGCGTGACCTTTCCTCGCCATGTGCCGTCATGGTCTTCGGAAGTTCGTAGCAGCACGTCATTAGGCTTTTCATAACATGGCATGCGAAATGCACCTTGGTGGGAATTTGTGATGAAATTAGTGAGATTGGAGCAACAAAAATGGCAGCGTGCTTTCACAGCCCCCATATTTCCTTTTGGGTAATACATTTTCCTTTTTAGATATTCGTCTTTACTTTGTGAGCAAAATTTCTGCCAATTTTGGTTTAGGTTTGGCCCGTGCGGCTGCCTGGTACAGGGCGTTTGGTTGTGCACTGCGGCACAGTATCCATGGCGGCGGCGTGGCGTTGTGAGCCGAGGCATCAGGCAGGTGAACAAAAGGTGAAGCATCGGCATTTTGTTAAAATCTATCGCTGCCAGTTCTAGGCCGTGGTCGGTAAATACACATTTTCGAAATTGTTTTGTTTCTTAATGAAGCCTCTTTTTGGAATCACTGACTAAGCCACATCCCAAGTGCTTCATTTTCAGCTTAGTTTAATCTCCATACTCTCGCTGAGAGGTATGCCATGGTTTCCCAAATACTGTCCTATCTTATTTTCAACGCCACGACAACCACATCTAGTCAGACGTTCTTCCCAGAAAGCCAGTCTTCTATCACGCCATCCATTAGCGTAGAAATAAGGTAAGCTTCCCGGACGCCAGCGTTCCGGAAGATATAAACCACGCCGCGCTGAATCAGCCTCCTCCCCTCCTCTCCCCAACAGCAGATTGCTTTGCCCCACATCCCGCGTTGTCATAGGGAGTACGCCTCATTTTCTGTGATTTTCACTTATTGTTTCATCAGACGGGTGCGATTTGATCAGTAATACCAGCTTTCTCGAAGTCCTTCTGAACAGCTCAGAATTTCTGTTTGAAGAAGCTGACCCGCGGGAGAAATCTCATTTGACCCCCTGCTCTCCACTTTGGATATAATACGTCTCATTCGCCATACTTTTTCCAACATGTGTGTTTTGAAATGTTTGCGACACAGAAATGTGCCCAAATGTTAGTGTAATGAATGCTACGAAAGCTTGAAACACTCTGTTTAGACAACAAGATATGCGAACAAGAAGGCATTATCCCGCAAACTCAACGAATTGTTATACTATGGTCTTATTTCTCCCCATGCATTGTGGCGTTTACCAGAGTGCCTCTTATCGTGGTGTACTTTGGCTTTGGAAATAGGAGTATCACGTGACACATGTGACGCATTTGTTCTCACTCCAACCAGCAAACTTTTCGCTAGCGGGTCCTTGCTTGCTGGGCCAATCACAAATGTTCTTTATTTACGTGCGCATCAGTAGAGGTGCGCACGGTCGCTGTCATAACGACGATGCTTGCGACTGCAGGAAAGAAGTGTGGTGCTGTTGCAAAGCGTTGACAGCGTAATTTGGACCCGAAAATAACTAGAATTAATATATGTACTACATCTTAACGGTGCTGCAATGGCACTACTCAGTGTCATTGTTAGGCGTAACGAGTCTCGAGGTTTCACTAGGGTATGTTTTTGAAACATGCCCCGAATGTTGGACACTCCCTTCAAGCTTCCTTGATGCCCGGTAGCTAGCTGGGCGCAGCTCTCCCCAGGTGTGCTGAGATCTGCGCGAGCGGGGGAGGTAGCGGCCGGGATGTTCGGCTCCACCGGGCACCACGCGCACCCGAGCGGCGCCGCCGTCCTCACGCCGCAGGACGACGCGCTCAGCCTGGCCGTCGTCGTCTGCAGCAGCTTCAGCGTGGTCGGCCTCGTCTTCAGCTTCATCAGACACAGGTGAGCTATGTGACCCGGAATGGGCCATGCTGGTAAACGGGCATCGATGCCTAATGCGTTTGGGGGTAAAATTTAAACCGCGCTCGGCCGAGAGAAGTTGGCTCCCTCTACGGTTTTTTAAGCACAGGCCAAACAACGCACACCTGCAGCCGGGCGAGGTTGTTAGTGCTGTTTATCTATCATTTGGCTTCCTTTGTGCAGATTGAAGTTTTGGTCTGCAAAGATCAGTGACCGAGGTCAGGTCAAAGAGGTTAACCTCTAAAAACTTTACCCACATATAGCTTTTTACAAGCCATTTGTCATTGTTCAAACCAGATATGATAATAAAACATGATAGTATAGACAAGTTTAATATTTGAGATTTTTCGGAAAATGCGAGTTCATTGACCTGAAGTGAGACCAATTTTTACTATTTTTGGTCAATAATTTAAATTTGTACGCACTTCTGTATGGTTTTGGTGTTGGTATATGGAAAAAGAGTGCTCACTCACATGCGCAACCAACACATGACCGCATAACTCATGGCCTTGGCCTAGGTCATGACCTACCTCTGTGGGTGCCTTCTGCAATCCACACACCGATTTCAAAATAGGCAGTTTTGTCAGATAATTTGAAAGGAGAATTGGAATGTTCCACTGATTACATGCCGTGACATCATTTCAATGTATAATGATGTCATAATAGGTCACGCGAAGACATGCAAGATCATATGATGTTATCCAAGGTCGATGACCTACGTCGCTAGTAGCGGAGGGGCTAGATGAAGGGGTGCGACGCCTATCACAACCTCTGTATCGTGTTTGTGAAGCTGATGACGTCTAATTTCTGGTGCCAACACACCTGTTCTCAGTTTGTTACAAATACACTGCCAAGCGTCGGAAGGTCATGTATAATGTAGACAACAGCTATGCGATCTTGAGTACATGTAGATGTGCGATACACGATTTTTGACCACAGAGGAGCATCGTACTGGTCACGTAGATTCGGTCAGCATGTCAAATTTTGTTACCGGACGGTGTATAAATTTGACCCAAGCTGACCTCAGATGACCAGGTCACCTTAAAATGGCAGTTGTGTCCCCGGAATATCTTTTGTCCCACATTTACATCTAATAAAATAAACCTAGTCAAAAACACATTGTAAAGGAAAGTATCGTTCTCGTAGGCTTCTGGTAGGGCGATTTTGAATGGTGACCTGGTCTGGCCTGACCCATATGAAGGAACAGAAATGTTCGGAATGGACTTCCCGTAGCCTTGATCCTTGTTAACGCGCCCTCAATATCCGCCTTGACGTGCGGGCATGGGCTTAGCTGCATCGATCGAACGACCGTTTTTTTTTACCTTGCGTAATCTCTATTGACCTCATTTTTGACCTAAGGTCAGAAATTTGATCTGCATTCTTTATGCCTTAACAAGTCTTTAAATTGGTTTATTTTTTCACACGGCGTCTGAAAATTTGAGATCCCAAGGGGGAAAACCAACTTGTTTTGCAGATTGTCCAGACGGTTGTCCAGACCCCCGGCCGGGCACGGATTAAGGCATGTAGCGTTGAAAAAGCCGGACCTTGCGTTAGTGACTAAGGTTAACGCTTTTGACAATAGTACTCTATGCCGACGTTCTGTGCTGATATGTCCATTAGAGAAGACAGAGTTAAGTGCGCTGCTGGACTTTGACATACAAACGCATAAACGTGTTCGTGAGCGTATGCTTGTTGTGCTGGAAATATGCAGTTGGTGTGCATACAGAGTGTAATTATTTTTTGTTCGCTTCTTCGCCCTTATGACCTCAAGGTTTTTGAAATGTTTCTGAATGTAGTCGACAGAGTAACATCAGCCTTCTCACTGGTTGGTATTAAGGCAAGTCAACGTCGTTGACCTGGTTGAGTCCCACCTCACGCCACACGTGGGCCGAAGGGCTTAGCTTTGGAACGAGGGCGTCGAGCCAGTTAGCTGTCTCCGGACGGAAAGCAGCGCGCTTTTACAAAGCGCCGTGGCGGCCCTTGCAATCGCACTTCACACCGAGTTACATTAACTATTCTCACATTCTCGGAAAACGGCCGAGGACGTGGCCCTGTCAGCCATAATTGAGCGAACAGTTCACAAAGGTTTCAGCGTGAAAACACTTACTGTGATGTTGAATATGAATGGTAGTTGGGAAGATCGCAGCTGGGCACCATCTGTCCCTGAACTCTCTGCTCCATCAAATCAAACTCTCGTAGGCTCTGTTCACATCAATACCGCCGCTGTTCGAAGCTGGCAATTTTTGACGTGTGCTGCAATGCCGTGATAATGCTTGCTGGCTCTAACGGCCGTATTGCTTAACTTCCCAAACTGTGGGAGGACCACATGCCAGACTTTGTTCATAAATATGAACTTTCCCTTTTATACAAGAGCTCCGTTCGATTTACCGGCGGCGCGGACAAATGTCACGGGGGAGACGCTCGCGCCGCCGCCACGCGAAAACTGCTGAACTGTTTTCATAGGTGGAGCCAGCTGAGACAAAGGAAGCGCAGGTTGGCATGGTTTTCCGTCATTTCTGAGTGCTTCGGGTAGCACTGAATGGGAACTCAGGCACATACGTGCTATAGACACCGGGCAAAACAGTGTGGGAAGTCTGTGTCCAACAAAGCCGGCCAATTCCGCCGGTGATCGTCTAATTTCCAGTGTAGATGATTTATCTCCGCCGACCGCGCCCCTCGTACTAATTGTGTGTGGGATCAAATGTTTCCTCGCTGGGTCGCCCTAATAACAGAGTCGACGGCGGCGGCGCGGCGTGCCGACGGCCGCCCGCGCGCCTCCCGTGCGGGCCTCGAGCAGGGGGAGGCGAAGAGCACCGTGCCGCTGGTCCGGCGGCCCAACTCCGGCCAGGAAGTTGGGGGCAAACGAGGCCGTTTGAGTCATGGTATGGCCGCAGAAATCATTGTTCGGTGTGATGCTTCCCCTCCACCCCCCTCCAACCCATCGCCGATTAACACGAGAATGCAGCAGCTAAAACATGGGGAGGACCTGAACGTCGTCAGGTGGTGGTGTTCGTCGTGCAGCCAGGCCGCCACGAACTGTAGAGCGCTATTTCTTCTTTGCTTGAAGCGCTTCTGAATATGCGGCGAGTATTTGGCATGAGTGGTCTGCCGGCGAAATTATGCAAATTGTCCGACTAGATGTGTTTTGCTGGGAGGGAAGAAGCACGTTATCATAATTGGAATCAGGAACCTGTGAAATGCTTCATTCCAGCGCTAAATGTATTTCTTAAAAGTTTGCCATTAAATGCAGAACTACTCTATATAAAAATGCATCTTTATGAAGCCAAAAACCTGTACGATCAATGATCATGACGTTTCGTAACAAGGGTATCTTCCATGGCTTCCAGAGTGAGATCGAAAGTAGAAAGACTTTACGTTTAACTATGGCACTGCTAGTGGTGAAGACGGAAGCGTTTAGTCACCCGCTCAAATGCTAACCTGAAAGGCATATTTAGGCAATGCATGCCACGAATATAACGGCGACCTAATGTAAAATGTCTTTTCCATCCTTGTGCGGTGCGAAATTCTGCGCGTGCCTGATTTAAGCATGTGCCAGGTGAACCGCATTGTTCCGAGCCGCAATATCGTGGTATCGGCTGACACGATAATCCGCAATATTGGCCGGCGGCCGCTGACGCCACTCACGCTGATAGGCCTAAGGCGGCCGAAGAAAAACCACCGGCGCGCCGAGGCCGAGCCGCCGTCGGCTTTCAGCTCGCCTGTGATCGCTCACGGCGCCGGTGGGCAGGCTCCGAGGTGTCCCGCGCCTGCGAGACGGTCAGCTTCAGACAGCACACGCGCACTGAGGTCGATGCCGAGCCCGCTCGCCCGCTGTCAGCCCGGAGCGTTCTGAGCCCGGCACGGCCCAGAGGAGACGCTTCTGGAAGACGACGCTGAGACCGGCATCGGGCAGAGCTGATGGCATGATGGAATCAGAGCTGATGGCATGATGGATCAGAGCTGATGGAAGCAGGGCTGCGGAGCCATCGCGGCCACCAGATGGGCGGTTACTTGTCGTGCGTACATGTACTGTTACGAGCACGAGTGGGCTCAGCGAAGGTGGCGCGGTTCGACGAGTGTCCGTGGTGAATGGGAGAACTTTTACGCAGATGATTCGCGCTAATGCAGTGGGTCGCTTTCACAGCTGAGCTACAAATCTCCTATCTATATGACTGCATAGATAATTGGTAAGTATGCACGCGTAAATTAATACACCTCGGCAACACGTGTATGCATATAATATGTACACACACACACATGCATATAAATATATATTTATATGTACATGCATATTTATATGCGTGTATATACATAAATCAGTATATCTTGGCAGAATATTTTTATTCGTGCATGCTTGATTAAATCGACCGCTGATTCCGCATTGCCAAGCTTCTTGATTCATCGTTCGAGGTTTCGGCTTTCGACTTAGCAACATTGTTAAGATAAAAGATTGTATGGTTTTCCCAAGTGCTTGATATCTAGGCAATGTGTGCACATGCTTTTTTCTCAACAAAACATTTGGCCACATTCGGCCTAGGTTAAAGCACAGACGATTTATTTGCACTATAACATTTTATGACTTTTGATTTCTTCTCACAATTAAATGCATAAAATCCCTGAATTAAAAGGTTGTTGAAACGCACGTATACCGTTCAGCAGCCATCAACAATTTTTTAACATGGAATATTTATTTCCCATCTTTTACTGTCATCAAGTATCTACGGCGTTTTTTCGATGACCTGTCACTGACCTTTCTCGTTATTAAATTGTGGTAAAATGCATAAATACGTATATTTAAAGTTCTGCATTGATGACGGCACGCTATTTGCGTAATTTTTCTCAAGCAAAAAAAAACGTTAAAAAATAGCTGAAATGTTCGAAAGATCACACAAAATGCTGCATGAAAAATCCGCGAGCTCAAGAACAAAACTGAATCAAAAATTAGAATATAAAGGTGTTGCCATTCCATGCTTAGTTATCCGTAAA